TCCTTGAAGAATGTTATCATCTTCGGATCCCCCATTTTTTTGATTTTGGGAATAGGCTATCTTGAGCTACGTGTTCTACCAGTGTCTCTAACAGCCAGTTCCTTATTCTTCTCCCTCCCTCCCTTCCTCCTCCCCCCCTCGCTCTCTCTTTCTTCTTCTCTTCTTCTTTCTTCTTCTCTTTATCTTTCTTTTGCTCTTTCCCCCGCAAACCTATATCTGGTTCTTTAAAAACATTCTCAAGACTTTGAACTTGGCCCTAAAACTGTGGAAGCTTTATAGTAGCATGTTTAGTTTTAGCTACAATTGTGGTGAATCTCAAGGATCCCCCAACTTCTCTTAGTTTTGCCTAATTTGTGAGGGGAGACCATGACATACTTTCCAATACTAGCTTCTTGATGCCAGTAAGTTCATAGTATCACAACTGAACATGAGAAAAATAGAAGATTAACAACTACTCTATAACCTTAACAACAAATACGTAACCATAACAATGAAATTGTAACCTTAACAACCAAATTATAACCTTAATAATAAAACCATAATATTAACAATCAACCTGTAATGTTAACAACTAAACAACAACCATAACAACAAGCCTGTAACCTTAACAACAAGTCCGTAACCTTAACAATCAATCTATAACTTAACAACTAAATTGTACACATAACACCCTAACCCTAACAACTAAGAACTATACTTGAAAACTAAGGTCGGTACACCCTTGCAGATATACAATCTTCTTTCATGCTCCAGGACCCTTCAATGCCTTTTCAATTGCATCTATTGTCTCACTAAAAATATTGGTCTCTCAAGCAGTGTTATTTGCTTATTCGATATTATCAATATACTTGAATAAATACCTAGATATACTAGGAACACTATTTGGACACCAGATCATGCTCAATTAATAGAGGATCTGTAGCAGGACAAATTCCTTCACATCTTGACGGTTAGTTGATTGTACAAGCTTTGTGAGAAGATCCTCAAGATGGCATTTGGTAGGTGCTGGAGGAGGAGTCCTACTACGGTCACCCTTAGGTTTGGTAAAAAATCTCGACTAAATTCAATATTTCCAATCTCGGTTGGAGCCAACAATATCCCCCTCATTGGAGAACCATGTATGGCTCACTACCCAAACAATGTTGAATGAGCACTCAATGTCTTCTCTGGTTTTTATATCAGTGAAGATAAATTTCATCTTATTCTAGTCCCACTATCTCAGCATGTGCTCAAAAGTGAGAAGATCAAGCCTAGGAGGGCCAAAATGAACGTAGAGTCTGAATACACTATTTTCGTAGGTCTCCCAATGCCTTTGCCCCATATGCTGCAAGACCAGGAGGGACAAAATGCACTAAAGAATGCATGAATTCATAGTAAGCAGTAAAGTTGGAAGTAAGCCGCAACTCTAATAGGGACTTTGCCTTTTGTCCACAAAGCAAAACCACAATACATAATTAGTTTGAAAATAACCTGTAATTATAACAATTACGCTATAAACTTGACAAAGAAACTGTAACCTTAATAACAAATTCATAAGCTTAATAACCATTCAATGATCTCAACAACCAATCAATAATCTTAACAATAAAAATATAACCCTAACAACTAACATGTCACAAGTTAACAGTAACATTCACAACTAATATTCACAAGTCAACAGTAACCTCCATAACTAACAGCCACACGTCAACAGTAACCTTCACAATTACAGACACACGTCAACAGTAACCTTCACAACAAACTCTTAACCTTAACAATTAAATCTTAACATTGACAATTAACAGGCCACATGTTGATAGTAACCTTAGCAACTAATAGTAACATTCACAATAGATTCATAATCTTAACAACTAACGCAGAACCTTAGCAATTAATGAATGTCCTTGACAACTACAAGCTAAACTTTACAATTAACACAACATGTAACATCATAAATAACTAAATTATGCAGTAAAAATCACTTCTTTTTAGTTAGCGTATGTCTCTTCCATTTTGTTCCTATTCGTTCATCTCTTTAGATCCAAGATTACTCTAGAGGCATCATCGGTGTCGTTGTTGCCCTCTAGATCTATGCATTAGACTGGGTTTTTAGGTTGAACTGGACTTGTAGGAGCAGGATGACTAGCTATGATGTCCTCTTGAACATTAGCAATTGATGTATCAGCTTCAGTCCACTCTATTGTTCTCAAAGGTCTTTTTGCGACGACGTACCATGACGTGTTGTTGTCTTCGTTGAAATCGACAGGGGCAACTACTTTGGGAAAACCCTTTTTTTATCAGGGTGTAAGATTCTACTTTAGGGCGGGTTGGTTTAGGGTCAGGGTTTTGAAATGGGGATGGTCGGTTCACTTGGACAGAAGAGAGATGGGCTGACACGATCGACTAGGAGTAATATTGAGAAGTAGGAGGCGATTAAAGGAAAGGGTATTTTGGAAAAAAAATTTAAACATCGGGTAACATGGAAACGAGTTTTGGGGGCTAAAGGAATATAAGAAATTCTTTTTGGAGCTTTGGAATCGTTGAAAAAGTCTTTGGAGGGGGTGGGGGTGGGGGCGAGATACTCGTTAGGATTTTGGAGGCTAGAAGCAATTTTCCCTTATATTTTTGTTACTTTGATAGTTGTTATTCATCTTTGAGGAAACGGGAGAATAACCAAAGGGAGGATGTAGCAGGATCAGGGATCTGTCATCCCATAGCTTTAGACTAGTATGAAAGTGATATAAATCTTTTGATGTATACGTATGGTGGTAGTGTAAAGCAGATTATTGATGTTTTACTTTAGACCTAGACTATGTTAGGAGTATATCCTAGGATTGGGGGTGTACTCTAGAAAATTGTATCTTTTTGTGGTAATAGCGGCTGGAGCATCAAACTATTGTGGTTCCATCCTTCTTCTCCAAAATAAATAAATAAATAAAAGAAAAAAGAAAAAGAATTATTCTTAAATAATTAGAACAAATCACAACCATCAACTTAAAAAGATGAATAGCTTGAATCATTTCTGTTAACTATAGTTCATGTTCTAACAATTTTTATGATTAAAAAGTAGTTTACAGACCATCTTTTTTAATCTTTATCGTCTGGTGAACTATTGTGATCTTCTCGAGTAAAATACATGCATAAATGCATTACACTGAAATATAATAATATTATAATTAAAATGAATCACAATAGTCTATTTAACATTAGAAGTTTGTGATTAAGAATAAAGATATTCCAACTAATATTTTATTAAGGAAGAGAAGAGTGCGAGCCACGTGTTGAAGTCATACATTTTTTGGTAACTTTAATTTAGCAATGTTAGCTTTTATCTAGACAATTGGGATGTTGGAGGTTTTTCCTATATGGATGTGGTGTCCTGTTGCGCCACAAGACAACAAGAAAGGCTTGAGATACAAGGGAGAAAAAGGATGCTAAAGGAAACAACGTAAAAAGTAGTAAGAAAAGTAAAAAGGTGGAGATATCTTTCTTTATTTCCGCCCCTTAAAATAAAGGGGAACCTCAAGTTTTCCTTTTTTAAGTGTAAATAAAAGATCATAAAAAGAAAACAAAGTCCTCTACTTCCAATGTTTCTCACAGAAGTTTCTATTATGCCTTGTTTCTTTCCTTGTCACATTTCTAAGCATGGAGTTTATTTTTAAGTTTATTTTTAAAAGAAATAAAGAAGTAGAGATATGTACTAATGAAGTAAATTAAAATTGTCTTGAAGAAAATAGTAGGAAGAAAATCAATGGATTTTGCAATCATTTTTAGTGAACTTTAAACTCATAGGTTAAGTTTAGACTACAATCAAGAGCAGATGAAAAGTGGCCATATCATTGATTAGTAAGAATATTTGTCAACACTCCTCAAGTCAATGGCAGATTCATATTGGAGGGAGTGGCGAGTCACATGACCCCACTCCCTCCCCATGGATCGTGAGCAGAGCAACATTTGCTTCAAGTTAAGTACTTTGAAATTTTGTAAGTTTAACTCACTATTGCATATAAAACTTCATGTACACCCAATATTTTTTTTTGGATCTTGGCCTAGCCTAAACTTTTCTCACCCTCAAGTTTTACTACACCACAATTGATGGTATATATCTCAGTGAAGTCTTATCTGGTTCTAATATGTACATACAAACATGTTGTAATTGTTTCTTTATAATGTCCAATTTGAGTGAAAGTTCTAAAATTGCCTTTGGAAGGGATTATTGCTAGTGTTAATAATCAAATATACGACTTGCCTCAGTGCTTATTTAATGAAATACAATAATATGTATTTGATAATGATACTTTTTATTGATGACACCAATTTTTAAAAATCCTAGATCCACCACTATCTCAAGCTCTGATGAATTTTTGTTGCGTAATATATTTATGTAAGTCATTAGATACTTGTCCTTAAAAAGATGCTCGCATTAAAAATAGAACCCCCTCCCCCTCCTATATATATGTGTGTGTGTATACATATATGTATATATTGTTGGCCTTTTTATTTTGATGATGTTTTAACAAACAATTTATAACTAATATTATTTGTCTAGTGTTTGTGTTTTTGTATTTATTCTAGGCAAACAATATATTGGAGGATGGATGTACTAGAGCTTTCACGATCATATCCATTGGAGTATGGAAGGAATAATGGAGTGAAGCCTTCCAATTCAAGTTGAAGATACAAGTTCAAGCTTCGTCCATGTTACCAAGATTAAGCGTCATGAAGATCATTGCTTGGTAAATTAGTTTTAGGTTTTATATTATGTGTGTTGATACTTTAAGCTCAATATCATATACACATATATTATATTGTATAAGTTTTCAAGTTTAAATATGAAACAATTGAATATAATTGGAAAATACATTTTTGTTTCATGTTTGTGTTAGGAATCTTGACCCCAAGATTAGTTTATTTTAATGATAACAAATATTATATGTTATGTGTATTATGTGCTAATATTTATTTTATAGTATTAGAGCTATATCAACAATTATATTCAAAGATAAGAGGTGCCTGGGTCTATGCCTGAGCGTATTAGCCATGTAGGAGACTCAGATATTCAACAGGATATTCAGAGTAAAGTTCTGATAAAAGAGAGGCCTAATCTTCAGCAGGTTGATCAGGTTAACAACTCTGGTAAGTTCAATTCCAAGGTTTCAGGTAATCCTGTGCATGTTGTGCACAACCAGTCTGTGCATGATGAGTACAATAAGACTCCTGATACTGAGGTAAACAAAGTGATAGAAAGCAACAGATCTCATCAATTCAAAACTGCTGATGGGCTCGGTGGAATTCTTGGAACTGTACCTGTGCAAGTGGTGCATGTTTCTGATACTGAATCTGGTAACTTCTCACAATCATGGACAACTGTTCAAAATAAAAAAAATCAAAGGGGCATATAAATTCTACCAATTCTTTCTCATCTTTGGATAATTTAGAAATTGACCCTTCTATAATCATTAGAAGGGGCTCATCTAAATGAATCTATCTTTTTGGAATGTTAGAGGATTAAATAAATCCTCTAAGCAACAGTTGGTAAAACACCACATGTTGCAATATCATGTTTCCTTTCTTTCTCTCCTGGAAACCAAGACTAAGGGCACATTGTTACCTGTTGTGGCAAAGAAAATAGCAAATTGTTGGAGTTGGATTTCTAATGTTAGGGTGCCTGGTAAAGCCAGAATTTTTATACTATGGGATACAAAAATCTTGGATGCTCAAGTCATAGCTTCATCTGATCAGCATATAACCTGCTTAGTAAAATCCTTGGATGGGTTAATGGAATGTGTCATATCTTCTGTATATGGACATAATCATCTGGAAGACAGGAAGGCATTGTGGGCAGATCTCATTCAGATTAATCATAATATTGGTAATGCTCCTTGGCTACTATGTGGGGACTTTAATGCTATGATTAATTGTGATGAAAAGCTAGGAGGATCTGCATTAACTGAAGCTGATACATGTGACTTCAAGGATTTTATTACAAATTGTAATCTCAATCATCTTAAGACCTCTGGCTGCTTCTACACTTGGAATAACAAGCAAAGCTTTGATTCTAGAGTTTGGTGTAGGCTTGATAGGGCTTTGGTTAATGATGCTTGGATTCATTTATTCAACTCTAGCCATGTGGAATTTCTTCTCCCAAATTGTTCAGATCATTCTCCAGCTCTTGTCTCTATATATGATGATCAGATACAGTGTAAAAAACCTTTCAAGTTTTTCAATATGTGGATTAAGCATCCAAGTTTCTCTACCACAGTTTCTAATGTCTGGCAAGGAAATATTAAGGGATTCACTATGTATTCAGTGTACTCTAAACTGAAAATGCTGAAGATTGCTCTTAAGGGATTAAATAAGAAACATTTCCATAACATTAGTGAGCAAGTCCAAAGGGCCAGAATTGCTCTGGAGAATGTTCAGGAAAATCTTCAAAAATCCTCCTTTGATCCTGTTCTTATTAAACAAGAGAAAGAATGTCTGGTTACTCTTAACAGGCTTATGGATTGTGAACTTTCTTTCTTCCAGCAAAAAGCTAGGATTAATTGGAATTTGCAAGGTGATAGGTGCTCCAGTTTTTTTCATGCTCTGGCTAAAACAAAAAGGCACCATAACAGAATTGTGGTTCTATACAACAGTAGAGGTGATAAGATTACTGATGGTGATGGCATAGCTGATGAATTGGTGGCTTTTTATAAAAGCTTAATGGGTACTGCTTTAGTCACTGCTCCTCCTGACATGAATATCATCAAGTCTGGGTATTGTTTAAATGAAACTCAAGAAAAATACCTATCTAGACCAGTCACTAAAGAAGAAATCAAAGCGGCAATATTCTCCATGTCAGAGTTTAAGGCACCTGGACCTGATGGGTTTAATGTGTCTTTCTTTAAAGCTGCTTGATTCTCCATGTCAGAGTTTAAGGCACCTGGACCTGATGGGTTTAATGTGTCTTTCTTTAAAGCTGCTTGAGACATCATAGGGGATGAGGTTACATTGGCCATTGAAGATGTGACGCCCCTGGGTTCACTCAAGGCTGCAGTCCAAGGTGAAACCAAGAATGTCAAACCTGCCATGCACCACACCGTGCAATAACATGTTTCACCATCACAATTAACATCTACCTAGTAGATTCAACAACAGGTGTAGGTACGAAAGCAGGTAAAAGATAATACAAGAAATAACTGATGAAATGATAGTGATCACATTAATATCTCATCATCCAACATACAGAATTACATAGTCAATGTCTGAATAGATAAACTGGAATACTCAACTAGTCTCAAAATACAAATATCTGACAAGATGAAATAAGGCACACGGCCTTTACAACTTCTAGAATAAGACTCTCAAATGTCTAAACAAAAGTCTACTGTGGAACTCCAAAAGAAAATATAACTAAGTAGACAGCTGAAGCTAAAATGCCTCGCCATCAACCTGCGACTCTCCGGGCTCCTGGCTCGTTACCTGAAAGGGGGAGGGACAACGAGCGTCAAATCGCTAGCGAGCAACATCACAACCAAGCCTAAGGGATAGGGCTTGTTGTATATGAAAATACAGTTAATACACAATAATATAAAATCATTTATCCTAGCAATAATGGGTTTTGGTACTTAGGAAATTACAACACGAGCATAGGTACGTCGAGCGAAATAATCTAAACAAGGAAACCCTCATGTATATACCTTGTATCTCAAATTGAAAGTCCCTAAGTACCAAACCCGGAGTCTAATACATGAACAAATAAATGAAAAAAAAAACAAAATACATCTCTACTTCCAAACATGGTGTCATGTCAAACTCACAAGAGTGTCATGTCAGAAAAACGATTAAGTGTCCAAAACCTAGACTATATAGGTTAAACGTCCAACACATAGACTGCATGAAGTAAACGTCCAACTCATGGGCTGAAAGCAACGAGTGTCCAACGCATGGATCGAACATAACCAATGTCCAACGCTTGGACTGAATGTAACCATTGTCCAACGCATGGACTGAATATAACCGTTGTCCAACGCATGGACCGGATGTGACCGTTGTCCAACGCATGGACCGGATGTGACCGTTGTCTAACGCATGGACCGGATGTGACCGTTGTCCAAGGCATGGACCAGATGATAATGCATATCCAACACGAGGATTAAATAACAACGCATGTCCAACACGAGGACTAAGTAAAGTGAATGTCCAACACAAGGACTAAATATAGACTATACAAAGTGTAGATGTTGAATTTATATATATATATACGCAAAAGATACACATAGTCTCATGTCGCACGTGCCTCGATGTGCGGATCGGTACTTGTCAAAAGTCAACTCACAGGTATAGGTAAATCACTAACATTGTAAATTGGTGTCAGATAGTCGAGGCGAACTCTCGAACGTGTGAAAAGTATACAACAAAACCAACAGTACACAAAACTGTGCGGCGATCGACCGCAGAGGTCACTCTGGTCGACCGCACACAGAGCACAAAACCACTGTGCTCAAAACTGAGCGGCGGTCGACCGCAGAGGTCATGTCGGTCGACCGCTCAAAGAGCAGAAGTGATTCTGCTGGCAAAATCCCGCGACGGTCGACCGCTGAGTCCGCTGCGGTCGACCGCTAAGAGGACAGAATCCCAGTCTGGGTTTCTGTCAGCTTCGAAACTCCTCCAAAATTTGGAAATTCTATACCCACCTAACTTTAACATTTCAATAGTGATATATGGCAGTAAACAACAAGTTTAAATAGTTAAAACCTCATTTTACCAAAAATCCCAAACTTAATCAACATGAGTTTAAAAGTTCTTAAACAGTAAGAAATAGATTTAAACTCTCATAAAAAACGTTTCAGATCAAAATCTCATCTACTAAAATCATTAGTGAACTTTTAAGGACTGAAATATATGATTTTCACATCTTATGCCATAAGGATCTACTTTATCTACATAAAATACGATTTAGGCTCAATAAAACCGGATTAAAACTCAAATCTAAGCATAAAAAACAAAAGGGGTGAAGTTGGGCGAGATGTTACTCGCCTCTGTTGTGTAGCAATCTCCTTGATCTGTAGGAGGGTGATCCCCTGCTGAATCCCCCAGAAAATCTGCCGAGAATCCTTCGAAACTCCCCCAAAATGCTAAAAACGAAGTTAGGGTTTGAGAGGAGAGAGAGAAGGGGGGCTGAGGCTATTAGGGTTTGAAAGAGGGTTCTGAGGGCTTCAAAATGAGTATATATAAGTAGGGTAACAACCGGGTTTGGTATAAATAAAACCAACCCAAAACAGAACTGAAACTGGCGTCTGTACGCCCAGCGGTCGACCGCAGCGACCACGGCGATCGACTGCTCAGAGTTCTGGGCCATGCTCAGACTGGGGTTCGGTAAAAAGGTTGTAACTTTCTCATACGATCTTGGAATGAGGTGATTTAGGATTCGTTGGAAAGCTATTGAAGATACCTACAACTTTGTTCTTATACACTTTTCCAGATTCTAACCGAATCAGTATGAAAAAAATAGAAACTCTCAACTGGTCAAAATTCTCAGATTATCACTCTTTGCCTTTGTGCATGTTTTGCGTCTTTACACTCATATATTCACAAATATACATTAAATTGATATCAAATCAATTCCTATCATACTTAAACATCAAAATATATTATTTTCTCCATATAACATATTTATAATTATTTATCACTCTATATTCAAATTTTTGGGGTTTTACATTCTTCCCCCCTTAAAAGAATTTTGTCCTCGAAATTCGGAAATCATACGCATCTCGCAATATAAACTTCTAGATGAACATATATAAATATTTATACCTAACAATCTAAAATGGTAATATTCCCGCTCAAACCCCAATCTAGTGGAAACTAGTACATCGGGTGAAAAATCCAAACAAATAACCCCCCATATATATACCATGTGTTCCGAAAGATTAAGAATTAAGCGTGAATATTCCCATTCTAGTGTTAAATGTAAATATAACTAAAGATATAAACATCATACAAGATACACATCATAAAATTTTTTAATTTACCTGTTCAAACAGGTGTGGGTAGTCGCGACGCAAATCCTCTTCGCGCTCCCAAGAAATCTCATCAATGCCTCATCGGTTCCACTGAACTTTCACCAAGGGAATTACCATGTTTCTAAGTCTCTTGTCCTCTCTGGCAAGAATACGAACCGGAATCTCAACAGTAGTCAAATCCTCCTGAAGCTCAATCTCGGGGGCATCCAATACTCGCTGCTGCTCCTCATCATGTAAGTGTTTCTTGAGCATAGAAACATGAAATACATTGTGTATACTAGACATCGATATTGGAAGATCTAGTCTGTATGACACAACTCCAATGCTCTCCAAAATCTGGAATGGTCCAATATATCTCGGCGCAAGCTTCCCCCGTCATCCGAATCGTTGCACGCCTTTCATAGGCGATACCTGGCGCAAGCTTCCCCCGTCATCCGAATCGTTGCACGCCTTTCATAGGCGATACCTTCAACATAACTGAGCCCCCAACCTGAAACTCCAAGGATCTTCGCCTCTTATCTGCATAACTCTTCTGCCGACTCTGAGCGGCTAGAATTCGCTCCCTGATCAATGCTACCTTCTCGGTAGTTTGCCTCACCAGCTTCGGTCCAAGCATCAAGCTACCCTCCGGCTCTGCCGAACATATCAGTGATCTACATGGTCTCCCGTACAATGCCTCATACGGAGCCATACCGATTATCGCTTGATAACTGTCGTTATAAGCGAATTCTATCAATGGAATGTGATCCTCCCAACTGCCTTGAAAGTCAATGACACAAGCCCGCAACATGTCTTCCAACACCTGATTTACTCTCTCTGTCTGACCATCCGTCTGTTGGTAGAAAAACACTGCTGAAAGATAGTCTACTGCCAAAAGAGTCCTGAAAACTCCTCCAAAAGTGCGAAGTGAACACCGAACCTTGATCCGATACAATCATGTCTGGAACTCCATGAAGTCGAACTATCTCCCGGATAAATATCCTCGCATATGCCTCGGCGGTATAGGTAGTCCTCACTGGAATGAAATGTGCCGACTTCGTAAACCGGTCCACATTCACCCAAACTGAATCATTTCCCTTCTTCGACTTCGGCAACCCTACAATGAAGTCCATAGCAATGTCTGCCCACTTCCACTCTGGAATGGGTAAAGGTTGAAGTGTTCCTGCCGGTCTCTGATGCTCTACCTTCACCTGCTGACAGGTAAAACACTTAGCCACATACTCTGAAATCTACCTTCGCATACCACTCCACCAAAAGTGTCTCTTCAGGTCCTTGTACATCTTAGTAGTCCCTGGATGTACTGTGTTCCGAGTACGATGAGCTTCATCAAGTAACTCTCTCTTAGCCTGCCCTTCATCCGGAGACCTCCATCTGCTCCAATGATCCAATCAGTCTTAGGCTCCTTGGAAATCTCCTCCTTTCTGATTTGAATCCAAGAGTCTCCCAACTGAGCTCTGACAACTCTGTCACTCCAAGATGACTGCACTGACATAGCTTCCAAAAATGCACTGGTTCCTCCAATCTCGAGTCTAAAATCAAAATGGCTAAGAGTGATAAGATCCCGATGTAATGAACACCTCAAAGCTGAAACCTGATGTCGACGCTTCCTGCTTAAGGCATCTGCTACGACGTTCGCCTTCCCTGGATAATACTGAATCGCGAACTCGTATTCCTTGATAAACTCAACCCACCTCCTCTGTCTCTGATTGAGTTCCTTCTGAGAAAAGAGGTACTTCAGACTCTGATGGTCTGTAAACAACTCAAACTGCACTCCATATAAGTAGTGCCTCCATGACTTCAGTGCAAATACCACTGCTGCTAACTCCAAGTCATGAGTGGGATAGTTCTGCTCATGCACCCTCAACTGTCGTGAGATATAAGCTACTACCCTCT